CACTTAATACATTTATCAGAAGCTGAAAAAAATTATTAACACCGTATTTATTAACAAAATAAATAACAAAATATGTTTCCTGAAATCTTGAAAATATGTCATCAAAGGTTTTATATTTAGTATCAGAACATTATGCACAGAAACTTTTTTTGGTTTATCAAGGAAGTTAAAAATTAAGATAAAATACAAACATTTCTACATTACAGCTGTTTGATGATTAGTATAGAATTGATCAGATTGAAATTTACTTTTAGTGTCATTCCGCATCATGATACTATAAATAAAGTACTTCCTTGTTTTTAACGGAACGTAAACTTATATTTTGAAATTCATTCTGTTTATTGTGAACATATGTTTTCATGATTCGAAATTTAATTTTGATTTCAAATAAGTAAATGTATTAAGACAAACAGCCGTTTTTGATAATCGTATTCAAAGAAGAAAGAAAACAAAATGGAATAAAGTTTAAATGTTTCCCTGGAAAAAGTTAAAAACGGTCACTGATGTCTCCTAAAAAGGAGTGTACGCTTCGTCTTTTATTTATCATCTTTCTTGCCGGGTTGGAAAGTCACGGTCAAGATTGTGGAAGGTAACATATCTTTTTTTTTTGGAAAAAAAAACAACTTTCAATTACATTTTAGAGTAAAAAAGAAATACATGTGCAATATTTCTTTCACTTTTAGTAAAAATGGTCAGAGGATATGCTGCAGTGGTTTTTGGTATGAGAAAAAGACTAACCAATGTTTAAGTAAGTTTATGTAAATATTTTAAATCTTTAATTTTCTGCTTGAAATAAATGCTTAAAATTTGTACTCATATATAAATTAATTAATAAAAACATGCAGAATGTCCAGCCGGTAACTATGGTCATAATTGTTCAGAAGCCTGTCCATATCCCTATTTTGGAGAGCTCTGCGAGCTAACATGTAACTGTTCGGTAGACTTATGTCATGTAGGTGGAGGATGCTTTACCGGAAGATCAGGTAAGCAACATGTAATCAAAGTATTGATTAATAGATGCATACATGTATTTTAATTAATTTCTGAAGAAACAATTTTGGGTTATCTTTCATTTGTTTCTTCTGAATATGTTTTAGATTAAGATAATAAATTAAACCAACCAGCCCAATCATTATATTTAAATGAAAGTTGACGAGTTCTTTGACATTTCCGTAATATTATTGAAAGGCACAAAATATACGAGTTTGTAAAGAATGTTTTTAAATTAATTTCAGCAGATAGTAAACTTTGCAGAGGGTATGTTCTACTATAAGCCAGTTTTATGAAGAGTTTTTTTTTTTGCCATTCATGAATTCAAACATTCCCAAAATTAAATTCTTTATCCTGTGCCACCTTTTATCTAGAACATCCGGTGTAACATGCTGCAGTAATTACTGGTTCAATGAAGAGAACCATGAATGTACTGGTAAAAGATCATTTTCAACGTTCACTCTATGTTTTTCTATTAATTCAATACCGAGTTTCTGAAATGTAATTTTAATTATTTAATAATATTACTTTCTTGCTATAGCTGCAATGACTCTTTGAGTAAAATGCTTTATTTCATTTCATCAATTCATCATCTACTCACATATGTACATCACCTATCTCTTAATCTTGAAAAATATCAACTGAATATTCATGTAACTATTTCCAGTGACTTGTAGGTTTCCTCTTACTATTTTTGTTATTTTAAAACTCTGTGAAAAGGTTTTATATCTGACCAAGCTAATTTAAATGTAAGAATGTAACCCAGGATACTTTGGAACAAATTGCATGGAAAGATGCCCTTTTCCCTTATACGGAAAACTTTGTAATCGAAGTTGCAACTGTTCGGAAGATGATTGTAATTATGACACAGGATGTCCATTACCAAATGCCAAACCTAACAGTAAGAATTGATATTATAACAGGCATACTGACGCAGTCTATTTTCAATTTTGTAAACTAATGCAATTTTTGAACAACAATATATATTTTTGCCTTATGTATCTGAAATTCTGCAGTTTTCACTTTTATCGTGATAAAAAATATTTCAGCAAAACAAAGATAAATTTATCAATTTTGTATTTAAACACAGAAAACATCACACAAGTTCCAAAATCAGGGAACATTTCCTTCAAACAAATAAAGAACAAAGAGTCTTACCTTTCAGATAAAAACTCACTCGGAGGCAAAATCCCTGAACTAGGACGTAAGCGTATTTATTTTCGCGTAGGCGCATGTGGTATTATAGTTATTCTAACAATTTTTGTTATACTCTTTGCTGTGTTCGAATTTTACCAAAGGAGACGAGGAAGTTCGGATGAACAAATGATTCATACTGATAATGAACCAACATATCAGGAGATAACACTAAATGAAGAAAATGAGGGGTTTTTAATCTCAGAACATTTCCACTGTAAACAGGAAGCATCACCTAACCCACCAGAGATAGTAACGAATTAGCAAAATGAAAGCACTGAAATGCAGACGTATAATTCAGAATCATCTCCAAAATGAAAATATGGAATTGACAGAGATGTGTTCTAGATATGTTTTAAATATTTCAGCGAAAATGCTAATTGTCAAACATTTACAATATACACTCTGAAAACTGCAATATCACAAAGAAGGAAATTCACAAGGAACTTAAAGAAACAAACATGACCATTTGTTGATATCAATATGTATCAATAACCACTGACACTGAGACTCGGACTTGAATCTTATTGAAACTTGCTTGTTGTGGTGGATGTCTGGAAAAGAAATAAGGAACAGTACACGAAGCATGACTATGAATTTAATTTTTAAAAGAATCAAATATCATGTTATGATTGAATAGATTTCTCTTGACGAATAATCAATATAGTTATGTAATTTTCAATTCAAGTCAAGGATGGGGAAGTTTCTGTTTACATAAATTATATAGATTTTTTTACAAGGAAATTATGATCACAAATTCCTCAAATTGATTGCAGAGTTTGTCAAGGAAACAATATTGCATGTTCAAAACTGGTGCATATTTGACAACTGCGTGTATACAAATATATCAGGTCTATTAATAATAATATCGAAACGAATTCATATGACCGACGCAAATATTTCCATAGTAAAGAAAATTCATCTTCATTTGCTACAATTTAAGCATTCGATCATTGATAATCATTAATGAAAATCAAATACCTTATTATTGAATAAAAAAAAGCAAAAGAAAATTGAACATGAAAATTTATGTTGCAGTATGCTTTTTAACTTTGTCTTTGAAATTATAATTGAATTAATTTTGTGATGACTTACGATATTAACTTGTATTTATTTTCATTTTTGTGTTACAAAGACTATTTCACATTATATATATAATTATGCAATTTATTTCCCTAATTATTTTCAATCTGTGTATACATATATGTATGTTTGCATTTCTCCCTTATTATTTACACATCATTTACTTATTCTTTGTCAACTTCTACTAATCTCTGTAAATAATAACTATTTTAGGGTTGACCATCTTTTAATTGAATATATCTTGTATAAGTAAAAAGAACCCATTCGTTATCTGTAATCAAAAAATATAGATAAAAATGTTTCTCTTTTAACTAGACAGTTGATTGTTTATCCAGATTAATGAAAAATATGTAGAAGTAAGGTCCTCTGATCCAATAGAAAAAGATTCCTAATTACGTTAGACCCAATTCGCCCAGAAAAGAACAACATCTAAAGCTCTCCATCAGCTATCAACTAGCAAATGTTGTTGTCATCGTATGAGTGAAAAATTCTTCAGAGGGACGTTAAACAGCAAGCAAAACACAAACAATACATATACATTTATAATTTTTATATTTTACATTATTTTATTTTTTATCAAAGTCTAGATTGGGCGGACATTTGAGACACAATCATGTCGATAACATTTGAAAGTACGTTGTTACTTCAAATTAAATGATATTGTTGAGAACTTGTTTTCTCTCAACGAGAGGGTTAATAGTTAATCAAGATTAACTGAACATAGGTTCGCCTATTTCGTGTTACAAAGTTCTGCAACGAAGTTTTGCCAATTGCAAAGATTTCCAGGTATTTAGCAAGAACAATTTGAGTACAATCCTCCACAGAAATATTTGTTCCCAGGTGCCAAAGATTCTCTGTTAATTTTACAGTCACTTTCATGCTTAAAGTTTACATGCGAATCATACATAAATTATATTTATTCTGCAACAAAGAAAGTTGAAAACTAATGAACGTTTAAGTATATCAGTTCACATGATTGTATAACCATATCTGTGACGCCAAATACATGTTATACAATTATTTAGAAAAGATCTCCTTTTTGATATGCAATAGTTCATGTACATGTAAGTGGTTACTTAAACGTGCTGGGCATATTAGAAACATGATATGAACAATTGCCGTTTCAAATTTACATAAGGTATGTCAAGGTACAGCTGTTTTATGTGGTATTTTTGCCATTTGTTATAGTGCTCAATTGCATAAAAACGATTAAATTTAACTATAAAGAGTATTCAGTCGTTTCCAACCAACCATGAGGATGACGTAAGCGCGTAGCACTGTCACATCAAGATATGGCTTTTCATCATGCCACACTGGCTATAGTCAAGGCATTATCACTGTAACCGATATTTAAACTGTCGTCAACCATACTCATAACATTCACCCAATAATTGACAGAAACTCTCTTCTCCAATTTGGTTCGAGATCTTGGCCACTTAATGTCAATTTCAAGCTCACATGCGCAAGCATTAGTTGTATGCCTATCGCTTTTAGCATGTTCAAACTGGGAAAATGTAGGCAGTGTTTGTCGAGACTTTCTAACAAACATGCATGTGTACCAATTCAGCTTGATTCTCAAAAATATATGGGATTCATTGGCGAGGGGATGTGTTTGATTTAGAATGTAACGGCTACTCTTAACCATTAAGACTACCGTCGGTTGGGTTGAATTATAATCGTTTGACAAAGAAAAATGCCTTGATGAACTAAATACGCAGGAGAATCATGCGCAAGGGGGATGACGAGAATTTTATTTCATATTAATTAAGGGATGGCGTGGCTGGGGATTGGGGGGATGGTATCGACATATCAATTTCAATAACGCATGATTTGTCAGTCGAAGTCAAACAAGATTTTGGTAACATGTTGATAAAAGATAACATGTTTAATGACGTTTCTGGAAAACATAGTTTTAATCAAATTCAAAAGTTTACTATGCGTTTCCTTTTCCTTCCAGTATATGTTGTTATCCATTATATAAAGAATAATCAACTAGCCCAAATTCCCAAAGACTGAACACTGTTTGAACAAATGTCAACAATTAATTGTATGCAAAATTTACCGCATTTGTAGATACAATTGACAATTGTCAGTAAAATTCAGGAAACGGGGAAATGATCTCTTAGATAAATACATGTACATGAATTGTCAGTCTGTGTTTAAAACTAAAATGTCGAAAAGGAAGTTTACTTTAAATAATTGGTCTAAATACCATTTCCGTTGATCTTGGTTTTTAACTCATTAGTTTTTTTTTTAGATATTTACCAATCAGCCACACAAAGTTACAATTACGATTTTTTAAATGTAATTTAGCACTATGGAGAATTTTGTTCATTTTGTGAAAATTTTCATAATCTATGTCTCGGTACTTGCTGTTTACAACGAAGAACATTGCAAAAAGTAAGAAAGTTTAAGTTAAATCAAACGTTTAGAATTAATCTTTTGATAAAATGAATTTATATTTTGCCAGTTTATCATGTCATTTATCTATTCAAGCCATTACATATAGTTTTAGAATTGACAATTGCTGTCGGGAATGGGACGAATTTGTTACAGAATGTAAAGGTAATTTTATTTACTTCTACATATGAAATAGAATGGAAATGTAAAATTTAATATCTTCTAGTGGGTATCTTTAATATCATTCACTATTGTTTCATAAGCCTTTGGCCGATTTTCTGAGAAATCGATAAAGCTTTGTTACAACCATCATTGAAATAACGACCTCTATTGAAATAATTATTTCAATAGTGGTTGCAACAAAGCTATCTAGATGAATGCTTAACCAAGATGTATATGAAAATGTATTCATTAAGGCAAGGTGATACAACATTCATACATATGTATTTCATATAAAGTATTGCTGTTGCATACTAGTTTTTGGCAAAACTGATGACCTAAACCATTTAAAATTCTAAATAATAATTCTTTATGCTTAAAATACAATGTAAGTATAACATTAGATATTAAATATTAAAAATCAAAAGGTTAAATTACTAAACACAATATGTATTTGTTTATGCACTACAAATCTGTATTTCATAAACGCAAAATTTTCTTATAATTCCTGTTTTAGGGATTAATTTTATTTGCAAATTATTCAATCAATTTCAACATTTTTAATAGATTAAATTGTATCAGACTCAATATATCTGGTGATGTATTTAATCTCTCTGTATTGTAGTGTGTTCACCAGGATATCTAGGTCGGAATTGTACACAGGCATGTCCGTACCCTAACTATGGTTTAGAGTGCCAAGGGAAATGTGACTGCAATGAGAGACTATGTGACATCGCTACAGGCTGCTTCTCTGATTCGGGTAATTATAAACGTTCATAAAACGACCAATGAAACCAACGCCATGCATGTTTCTTCCGTACCAATCCCTACCTCTCTTTTTTAAGTACAATTACATGAACACGTTCTAAATTATATGAAAATCATTGAGATTAGCCTTTAAACTCAAAATATGACAACGTTTATAAATGGAGAGGAAGGAAGGAGGCATACAGAAATTTCATGTTTTTATTTTCTGTTAGAAAATAAGGACGTGTTTTTTTTTTTATCAAATGAGACCCTCTCCCACAGTAGCCTCCCCCTAAAAAAACAATTTTAATTTCTGTTCAGTTTTATTTTATTTTAAGACTAGTTAACAAAATCTTTCAATGATTGTGAACGTTGGATAGACAAAGACCTTCTATGCTGTAGAGTCAGTTAAGTCAGAAATACTCGCATCAAACTTAGACAGCATATTATCTAACTTCCTTTTATTTTCTTTTTTCTTTTAAGATGGATGCAGGACAGGTTACTATGGAGAAAGATGTATGTTTAAGTGTAGAGTACCGACGTATGGAAAACATTGTCAACAAATCTGCCAGTGTGATGAATCTATCTGTCATTACATTACCGGGTGTCCAGTAAAGGAAAGCAAGTACTTATAGTGTTTTAAATATCTAATAATCATTGTCTCTTTTAATAGATTTATACCTCCTCATTACATACCCTCATCTTCATTAGACAAACATAAATACGTGTACAAAAATGTTGATCCAATTTTGATAATATCAAATCATGTCCCCAAACAAATTTTGTAAAACAAAAACGATTTCATAAAGTAAATATGCAAATTAAAAATGCAGTTACAGTATTGCATATGTATGCAATTATCAATGAAAAGGAACATTAAATTTGTAATCAGCTAACATATTAGACATAGATTTAACCAGTAGAATAATACTCAAATAAGAGGGAAAGAAGTAAAATGAATGCTTTATATCCATATTATTTGAACAATTTAGCATATTATGTGAGTAATCCAACCTGTATGTTTTAGGTACGGCTAGTTTTGGTCTGGAAACATCCACATCAATGTTCTCTTCAATTTCGAAGGAAGAAGTTAAAGGCGTTCCTATGCTGGTTCTAATATTATCTATATCTCTCGCCACATTCGTTACCATTTCATTTGTTCTCATAATTGCAATCTGTCGACGCATGAAACCAACAAATGAAAAATGTCCTTCTGCTGATCAACAGACCGACGGTGGCGAATACATCGATACACGAAATGCTATTTTGTCCAGTCAACAGTACAGTGCCCCATGTCGGAGTCCCAGTAAACCGGTTCAAGAAAGTTCTATCATGATGGACGCTCGGAAGAGTTCAGTCAGTACTAGGTGCTCTTCATCAGCTAATTACTATGAATCTGTTGAGTTTGGCTCTCTTAAGAAAAATGATGAATACAGCGTAATAAAGGAAGATACCAATGACCAAGATTCGAATCCCAATGAGAACACACACGACACTGCTGGTTATATTGAAATGAACACATAGATAGCAAGGACTTTTTGGCACTATGAATTTTTGAAAAGTCAAAACTGCTCATGACTTAATTTTCTCTCCAGTCAATATATTTTAACGTCATGAAATGGCCACGATATACAAATTCTTTTTCAATATTGCATAAAGAGCAAAACCACAGATCAAAATATGCAATAACATATGGTAACAGACTGTAAGATCATTCTGTGAAGAACATAAACATGTTTTTTTGGATCGAGGACTGTGCTCATATTTTATTAGTTCTATTCTGAAGATTGTCAAATACGCCATTTTCTGCAAAATTTAAAAACATTGCATTTTCACTATGCCTGATTTCTAATAGTTTTATTCTTAAAAAAATTGTATACAGAATGAATCCACAAAGTCTCTATTTTATTTTGAAACATGCAAATGATATTGGACATGGGAGAAGAGGCAATTGATAGATATAAGAGCAGGGCCATTTTATGCATAAAATGAACATAGTTTTTGTCAATAAATTTTTCTTCTGATTATGTAAATTGAATATGTTTTTGGATTTAAATGCATGTTTTTTATATTACATTGTTATTCGGTAATAGACTTAATTAATATTTTGTTAAATACCTTGACCTCTTTTGTTTATCTTAATGTAACCTTTAAAAGGCATGTGGTCGTTATTGAGAAAATAGATACAAGGGTTGTCTAATAAATTCCATTATCAAAAAATATCTTTATAATGACCACTTTGTACATTGTGTACAATATCTTTCATCAATAATAATATTGACTATAAACTAGTAATTGGATAATTTTTAATCAAAACACACTATTTAACGAATGTTATCTATGTAAATGAATTGTAAGCTGCACGGCCCCGTCTGGCTGCTTGAAAATCTAAGAAGATATAAATGTTTGAAATATTTGTCTTTTCTGGCGATGATGGCAACAGTGCAGGTAACTAATGTTGTAACATAAGTCAGCATCAGCATTAAAAACAAAGCCAATGGCCTTGGTGTCAGTTGAAAGTGCTAAATTAATGGAGTATGCATACCAAATTTGAAGTCTCCATCTCACGGTTCAAAAGTTAAGGCAAAGGTTAAAGTTGACAACAGACAGACAAACAGATAAACAGACAAACAGACAGAAAAACAGACAAACAGACAGACAGGAAAAAAAACAATATATGTTCCAAATAAATTCGGGCGCATAAGAATGAGATTCAAAATTAGGGTAAGCATTCTAAAACAACACTGTCAGATCAGCATCAGTAGACACAGGATAAAACTAACTTTGATCTACTAAAAACCAGCATTGACCGACTTGCATCAGAATATCAGTGAGGTTTTAAAAAGTAAAAGCAATAAACAGAGAAGGAAACTTAGTTAGACTATTGAAATTATAAATGCACATTAAAATATTATGAATGAATGATTACATAAAACACTTTTATTGTTTTTAATGGTAATGCTGAAATTCAATTAGCTACACGTACATCAGATAGCTAGATTTGACCTGGTCATCAGAAAACATCTGACCAAGGATAAGAATTTATTGCATAAAATAAGAAAAGAAAAGAAGCATTCAAATCATCTGTCAAGGGGGTGGGAGGTTTCCAATCCAGCATCGATGCTGTCAAAAAATTAGCACTTTCACTGTAATATTGATCAAAATATTCGATGTATCACTTTGACCAATACATATTCGATCCAAAAAGAAAATTGTGAAACTTTACAAATTTCAAAATAAACATGAACCTTCGATAGCTCAATTACGGCACGGTTAAGTATTTCCTGAAGACAAAAAATCAAAGTTTCACATACTTTCTAAATGTAACCTTTAAACGATATTAAACTTCCTCAACACTGCGGTAAACTAATTAATAATCAGTTGGTTTTTGTATTTTTACATTGAGGTAAACGTGAACGTCACTCCTTGGCATACTTGATATCAATAAAAAAAACAATGATGTTTCATAAATGTATTTAGAATATCTTTATAAATACGCATAATCTGAAATCGCCTACAATTTTGGCATTTTGTCTGCATGTAACCGGTCAACTGCAAACGTGTTACACTTAGATTATATAGTTAAATGTCAATCAATATATCACAAACATATATAACAAACTGTAATCATGATATTCAAAAAATCTTATTTTGGGCAAAATTGAGCAAATAAACTGACTGTTAAACAAATTACATTAAATCAACGCTGTTTGAAAATTTTTCGTATTGAAAAAAGAAAATCAGAAATATTTCCATATGTATTAGCTTTTGATGACCTCAGTGGTGATGAATTCTCTTTTTAATTGAATATTGTATAATTTTATTGTTTAGTCAAAAATGTTGTAAAAAGTAAAATTGCAGTAGACACATTACTCACAAGGTACACGCATGTACAAAATTCTGATTGAACCTTAAAGCTTTTTTTTTAAAATACATGTATTGACAAATAGCATTCCTTATTAGTCATGTGATAGAAACTTGAATATTTTGTTTTACATATTTTTTAATGTAGAATAGAAATTTAGATGGACTCATATGATGATGGTAATTAAAGGGCTGTCTTAATTTTCTTTTCAAAAAATAATATAAAATGTAGATGTTATTCAGTTTCAATGAGTCACCTGACCAGCAAACACATTTTAAACAGCTGATCACATGATTGAAAAATCCACAAAATGTTTTCAACATATGGGTATATTTTACGCGTCAAGCTGAAAACAATTTTTTTTCGACACGCCAGCTGTTCAGAAATGTTGCACATTATTTTTGTAACACTGTTAACGAGTAAACCGGCATATTTTCAAACGTGTTTTAGGTAAGTTTACCTAAAGTTCAATTTTGAAAAGAAATATTTTTATCAATTGAATAAGTTATGATACTTGCAATCTGACATTTGTTTAAGCTATATCATTGTTTTGTTAGATGTCAGCATACATTATCCCTTTTTCTTCCAATTAAAATGTTTTTTAAAGTGAATGATTTTAAAAGAAATCGGATTGATATTTCAAGCGAACACAATCTTTTTGCAATTGTATGCTATGTAAACTTCAACAGAAATAAAGTTATCTCACTTCTCAGAGACTCAGATATATTCCATTTTCTATCAACAATTTTAAACAATAAAACAAATATTACAGTAACATTCAATTTTCCCTAATATTTACTTTTTTACCCCCTTCAGTCCAGATGGTAAAATTATCTGTTGTGCAGATTACGTATGGAACAACGAAACAAAGGAATGCGATGGTTAGTAAAATGATTGGTCTAAAATTAATTTGTTCTGAAAAATTCAATTGTCGACTTTGAAAATGTAAAAAAAAATAAAACCATATTTTGTATATGAAACACTATGCCCCCGGTTGCAACAAATTTTCGGAAAAGCTATTTTTAGCATATAAGTCACAGTCAACGTCACAAAGTCATTGACCTTGATTTCATTTGAAAGAACTTAATTAGTGTTTGTATACCAAACATGAAGTACCTATCTCTCATGGTTAAAAGTTATAACAAAGGTTAAAATTGAAAAACATACAAACAGATAAACGGACAGATAGGACAAAACAAAATACGCCCTGGATCTATCCGGGTGCATAAAAAAGTTATTGTAAAATCTTTACCACTTTCACGTTTATCAAACTATTTTCATTTCAAATGGTTGTATATCACATAGTTTGATCTCTATAAAACATGGGATTTACGGGATTCATAATACATAAAATGATAATTATGAGAGGAAAAATTAACAAATTAGGTTAAACAAACTTGCTTTCGAAATCTAGATTTTTTCTGCATTTACGGTACATTTATCATTTGCTTGTTTTTACTGTAAAACACATGCACAAACGCATGGTTATTAAATCAGAGAGTGGTATTTCTTTGCATTACATGTAAATACAAAACAAGATTTTCAAAAGATTATTCAAGGGAAAATTCTAATATTTCATAATTTCAACAAAGAGTGTCCAGTCGGATATCATGGCTTAAAGTGTGCCACACTTTGTCCTCCACCAAGTTATGGGAGATTATGCCAAAATGAATGTATCTGTGACAATTCCAGCGGGTGCGATCCAATTGTTGGGTGTACAACTAGAAGTAAGTAAATGAACAATTTTGCTGTTGTTGTGTATGTGTGAAGGTGTTTGTTTTCAGTGTATATTTTGTACTTGATATGAAAGATTATGAAATAATGTCTGAAAAATAAAGTCAATTGATGCACGTATGTACAGCAACACATTAATTTCATTTTAACTATGCAATATGCATTTGATAGACATTACAGGCAAAGTATATGGGGACCAGACTGACCCAACTCAATTGATTCTGATAGTCATGAGTGTGTTGGCAGTGGTTATATTTTTAAGTTTGGTATTTGTGCTGCGTAAAGTTTGCAATCGAAATGAAAGATCCGAATCTTCAATCCTTGTTACTGGGAGGGACAAGGAAACATCTGGAACAGAAGGATCCGTAAAGAATGCAACTGCAAACACACAATCATACAAACCGGGTGATTCAGCACAGAGCGATAGGTTTTATTCTTTGGAAAGGTTACAGTTACATGTACCAAAGGATCTTCATGAAAATTTTTGATTGTGTAAATTATTAAAGGAGTAATTATTTCTGGTACCAACAAAAGGAACAGTCTCTGTTTTCTCTTAGGTCTCTGAGCCACAGTAAGATTCTTTCAAATAACAGAAATTAAAAAGAATAAAATTTACATGACTAAAATTTTGACTTGAAAACATTAATTTCCACTCTAAATTACATGCAGGATCACAGCTTTGGTTTGCATTTTTTTTTCTGAGCGAGTCGATTGATTAGAGGTAAGAAAGAGAATAATTTAATTTCGTATTCATTAACTCATGTTCATTTTATTAGATTTTATTTAGATGCATATCTTTACAATTATGAGACATTTTGAGATAAACATTGTATGTTTAAATTTATTTTTTTTGTTGTAACACGTCATTTGATTGGTTAAACGGTTTTGTCCATTTTGTATAACATAACTTGTCTACGTCACAATCAGTAACGTCAAAATCGTATTTCTCCGCTTGCCATTTACATGTACTTTTAAAAGATGCGATATTTGAAGCCATTTTCCAAAGAAAAGAAAATGGAAAAATTGTCGCATTGTCTACTTTGAAATTAAATTATAAGGAATGAAAGCTTATTTCAACGGTTTCGCGGTTTTTAAAGCGTAAACTGTCCCAAGTTATGTTATATCGTATAACAAAAGTTGAAATAAGCTTCATTCCTTAAATGTTAATAAAAAAGGTAGTCGATAGAATTAAATGGTAATAATTATATCTTTCGAAAAACTTTTTTTTTTATGTATTGATTTTCTCTCATTGCGAACAAGGAGAAGACGAGTAGAAGATCTCTTTTCTTATGCAACTCTTTTCTTTCTTATACTAAAGGGCTGGTAGCAAATTGATTTGCAATATGTTTGGGCACCTATGAAACTAGCCACCCCGCCACCCGGATCTGATGCCTATGCTAAATCCAAATGCATGTATTTCTATAACTGGTGTGGCGTTGTGAAAATTTTAGTTTACATAAAATTTATGAAAACTGGAGAAGTACAGTAATACATATGTGTATAAGACAGAAAAAAAAGTGCGTTGATTTGGTCCTAAATCTAACGCATTTTGAAATTTTTTATCGAAGTGAGTAATTTTTTGAAATGCGTTATACATGTGTAACACAGTCAAAGGTAATCGGAAAACAAAAAAGTATATTTTGCAATTTGTATGCATCAATAGATCTGGTTCATATACTCTGCATATTGTACACGATCCTTGCTTTGTAAGCTTTAACAAAGATTTTCAAAACCATTTGCGGCTTGCGCTATTGTGCAAAATGTTTGTTCGATTCACTGGTTTTACTGTTTTTGTTTCAGTTTGCCTATGTTATGGCCTCGGGGAGAATGATCTTCTTTCACTTAATATTAAATGTATGATTTTACAAGTAATATGTTCCGATTTACTTCGTTGAAGTGTGGGAGTAGAACGCTTTAAGGTCCTAAAGTGTCATTTCTCTTGGTCATGTTTTAATGCAAGAAATTGTAAATACATGTAATAAATACAGTATTCCACGTTTTTACTTGCAAATGCTTTTGTGTCATCAAATAATAATTTCTTTTTATCTATTTTTTTCTATTTCATATCCTACCATTTTTTTTATTTTAGCATGCATCTTTAACAAACATAAAAAAAAAGTTCAAAGTTGAATTGTAAAAACAAAATGATATTTATTATTAAATTAAAATATATACATATATAAATGAATGTTTAAACACATTAAAAAATCTATGATAAAAATTCGTTCTTGCTTTTTTTATCATCTTGAAGAGAAAGTTTTTTTTGCAAAGAATAATGAAATAACACCATATTTTAACAGATGATATGCAAAAAAAATTGTTTTATGAATTAGTTCACTTCATTCTGTAATGTAACTGCTGCCTTCTCCTTTAAGATACCATTAGAGCTTCCTGTATAAGGAAATGAGTTATTAATAAGTTAGTTTCAACGAATACATGTACAGTATATCTACCTTATCAAACATACACATAGATTACGTAATTATTCGTTTTGCTAAATGCATGACTACTAGATTTCTAACCGGGTTTTATCGTTCTGTTTGAGAAGAACTAAAACGTTTATGAGTTGACATCCGTAAAACTATATACTCTAAAATCACATATATTCGTGGGGTCAAATTTTCGATTATGAGGAATAAATATTGGTTTGTAGAGAATTGATTTCGTGGTTGGAGAATGTTAAGTAGTAATGCATATCATTTTTTTTATATTTTGTGTTGACCCTAAAAAGGTGGGCCTCTCCATACCTCGAAAGCAACGAAAATTAAGCCCCCATAAAAATGTGTGATTTCAAAGTACACAATGATCTCCAATGATGTTTTTTAAAACGAAGATTGTGTTTTGTATTTCAGAGCCTGCAGTATATTTATATTAAGGAAACTTTTAATTTGAAGAGAGAAATTGAAAAGTTCTAAACAATATTTTGAAAGTCTGAAAACCATGTTATAGAATAAGAAATAATTAAAAACTAATAAACAATTTTCATGAAATGTAAAAAAAATAACGAAAAGCATTTTCAATTAATGTGTTATACGTGTATAATATTTACCTCCGTTACGTGTTTTTCATTGAATATGCTAACATTTACAGTATTACATAGAAGTATAAGTCACCACAATTTTATTAAATGTGCTCAAACGATAATATAATTTACCTCCTTTATAAGTGTTTCCGTATGCCCAGATATTCATTTGATCTCTTGTAAGCTTTAACAAAAGCTGTGCTGTTCTAAGTTTTTTGGATTCGTCAGTTCTGGAACCTTTCCTTAAACTATGGGCAGCAATACTTATAATTGCGCCATCAGCAACAACTGATGCAGGGATAAATACTGCCTCCGCGCTTGTAATAGCGTTAGCTAAAACTCTAAGTATCAGAAGTGGAATGGATCCAATACTACAGAATGTACGTAGATATGCAGGAGCTACATCTAAGGAAGCAGTAAACTTTTGTCCATTTTTTTCCTCTAGAATCTTCAAATACTTATCTAACTCTTTCACATTGTTTTCAAAGCGTTTTGAATGTTCCTGCAGTACCATCTGTTGTCGCTGAACAATACTTTTGGGCTTTTTATTAAGAAAAAATTCCGTCAATTTGGCTCCGATTGTTGTTATTGTTCCAGCCCCAGAAATAACTCCTCCAGCAATTGTCAAAGCAAGTGTTGCTCCTCCCGTCACAGGTGAGGCAAGAATTCCAGACACCATAAGGATAGTTCCTAACAAACTGGTGGAAGATCCTACAATACTGGCAATATTTGTGTCCTTTCTCCGTCCTTCTAACTTTCTGACAATCACTGCACAAAGAATTTCTAAGGCGGTATTTGAACGAATCCAATTTTCAAAATTAAACTTCATTTTAACAAGATGGTTAACAGGACTCCATAAATGCTGCAACTCTCGTCTTTTCCAGACTTTATTTACACCTAAAATGTATTCAAGTGAAACAATCATTCAAACTATTATTGTTTAACTTAAACCACAATGCAATCAAATTGAAAATTACACCCTACTTTTACTTTTGAATATGAAATATTCGACTTATCATTTATTTGCCGAATTCTTAGGTGGACCTGTACTTAAAATATAGAAATGTAAGAATATCTTCAATATTTTTATTCTGTTTTCATTTAAATCTCTTGTTCCCGTTATATTCTGTAGTACTCTATAAAAACAGGAAAATTCTTATTTTTTGGATTTCGAGATGCCCCCTTTGGTAACAAGACGGTAGAATTTTGTGTTTCTTATAATGCACAATATAGTTTTACTAATCATATATTTTAGTTTTGATAAGAAGTATATTGTAGTATTTGTATAATATGCTTTAAAGTGCTAAAAAGTGGCACTTTCCTATATAATCCTTTAGTAAATGAACCTGTAGTTTGAGACGGTCCCTTAAGAATACCTGGACGGCAGATTTTCCCCTAACTTGGCATGTACGCTGAAGTTAATGTAAGTTATATATGGTATAAAAATGAAGAGTTTTGCTATAGCAGTTTCCAAACAATAAAACCCTAGTCGGCCCCCTTAACTGCCATGTTAATTGGCTCTGGTCGATTTTACTTTTAGACAGCCTATGAGAATTTGAGAGCTAGGGCTAGGGGGATGGGATCTTGAAGTTGCATTCATAGAAATTCATCATTCTGCGCTTAAATTAAGAAAACTTTTCTTTTAATTATATTGAGTTATGCCCAATATGGTACAACCTACGTCATGGTTTAACCTACGTCAATTTATACAGTTTCAAGCCTTTCAAGATTACAACTGGAAGTCTAAGCACATTACATGAGACATTAAATGAATGTTGGTTGATTTTTTTTTTTGTTTAAAGTTTAAAGTATTCTATTTTGAGAAATTTTATTTTGCCTAGGAATGGAGGGGGGCTGCAAATGTAGAACCGTACTCGACAATAACGAATATTAAGAAGTGAGTATTCTTTATTTTGTTTCATCATGTTTATCGACGCTGGATTTTGAATATTTTGCAAGGTTTTATCTGCAGGACCAGTTTCCACAATAAAATGGAATTTTTTTTCTTTTCTGTCGTGGTCTTAATGACAAAACTGTGGCATGAAATTGTAGCAATCTCCAGAAAACAGATGAAAAAAGAGTTTTGTAGTATTTGTACATGTAATTGTATTTGTGATCGGGATTGAGATTCAAATTATTTTGTTCATGAACAGTTAGTTCCATTTAGATAAACAAAAAAAAAAAAAAAAAAAAAAACACGTGTTATGTCTGTTTGGCGCACTGAGTGGTGTTTCCCAGCTAGATATTACAGTGGCGGCGAAGTGGACATTTTCTTTATTTCAAGGCATAAAGGTGTTGGAGACATTTGTGCATAAACAAAAATTGGCGTACTCGTATATCGGGAAACTTGGAGAATTCAGCGACGGTAAGGAGACATTTGTGAACTATATGGACAGGATGGAGCAGTATTTTAAAGCAAAAGAAGTCAAATTAGAGAAAAAAGGTAGCAGTGTTTCTGTCGGTGGTTGGACCAACGACGTATGGCGTTCTTAAGAATCTACTTCAGCTGCTTTGCCGAAAGAAAAGTCATTTAATGACATAGTAAAAATTTTCACAGACTACTACATGCCAAAACCTTCGGTGATTTCAGAACGCTTAAAATCCAACAAGTGTAACCAGACAGAAAGTGAGACTGCAAATGAGTATATGTGCGAGTGCGAGAACTAATCAAGATATTGTGAATTTGGGGACTTTTTGAAGGAAGTGCTGAGAAAGAAATTACTG